TGCCATGTAAGTACATGATCCCAACAATGAATGTAACTGTACTGTATCCCTAAAATGTACCAATAAACTCAATAAAATAAAAAAAAATAAAGTAAAAAAAAAGAATAATTATAAAGGAGAAAAAAAAATCAAACTTGCTAAACTCATATCTTCCTGGTTATTTCTACAAATATTTTGAAGCAGAGGACTGCATGTGTTTTTCGCATACAATTAACTTTGCCACTGGGAAAACGTAGTCTAAGATTCCTTTAACAACTATTTGGGCCATTTTTAAAGTAAAACGGTGTTCACTTGAGTCCAACACACTTTATGTTAAACTGACTCATCTAGCTGGGTAGCTTTGGTGTAAGTGAAATGTGTCAGGATTGGCAGGACTGGCTTTGAGATTGATTATCATCTCCCAGAGTTTATGCTTATAATTCAATTTACTGACATCGCCGATCAATTAAATAACAATAAAAGTAAATGTTTCTATGAATTTTAATCAAGTCAAGAATACATAATTGAGTAACGGTAATGGCTGGCAGCTTTTCAGAAAGCTAGGGTCTCTAAAAAGCTTGAGGATAAAGTCAAGTGTTCTCCAAGATGAAGGAGGATTAAAAGTATGCATTTGTGACTTGTGAGATCTGTTTTCATAAGGTATTCTTTTTTTGTTTTTTTTTGCAGCACATGGACTTTAAGGCCATGAGATCAGTGGGAATTCAGGAAGTAATAAAACCATCAAAAAGTAATTAATGGGGCTGGGGATTTAGCTCAATGGTTCCACCGCCTGCCTCGCATGTGCAAGGACCTGAGTTTGATCCCTGGTACAAAAAAAAAAAAAAAAAAAAAAAAAAAAAGTAACGACTGCACACAAGACAGGAAGAACATCTATTTAGAATAGATCAATAATTTACCTCCTATTTTTCTAATTCACTCTTGCATCTTACATATTAAAATTCTAATTTAGGAAATAAATTCAAGAAACTTTGTTTTCCAAGCAGACAACTCTTGTAAGAAATTTACATTTGGCTTTGTTTTCTTTGATCTATAGCTTCCGCTTACCTCCTATAATAGTCCCCTACTTCCACCCACTTCCTGTGACTAAGAGAAGGGCACATCCTTGATCTTATCATCTTTTACTGTCATGATCCCATGTGTGACCTTGATGCTTTCTACCCTGTGCCCTTTTGTTTCTATTTCAGGTCCCGCATCCTGTGAGATGTGAGATAGACACAAACAGACATCATGGGCCAGAAACAGGCTGTGGATGAATTCAGAGCCACAGACAGTGAACGGAAAGGCCACATTTAGTGACACAGATGCCCATCGTTAAAGACATGGGGAAAAGCTTCTAATGGGTCAAAGACTGCAAATGTATATTGTTTTAATTCACATGGACTTTTTGCTCACTTTTGGGAATGCGTGTGAAAGACATTAAGCTCCAATTGGACAATGAACTAGGGTAGAGGGTTACTGTTAATGCATATGAAAATATTTCAGAAACTGTCATTCTGATGTTCTAAATATATCATCTAAAATATCTTGTGCATTGAACAATAGTAAAGGATCACAAAAATATGTATCCTAAGCAGGAAATGGTGAATTATGTTGTTCTATATTTTTGTGTGTGTGTGTGTGCGTGTGTGAGTCCCTTTTCAGCCCTTTCAATGAGCACCCAAAGTAAGCTGTCATCTCCAGTCCGAACATAATGGAACAGAGACCCAGAGAAGTAACATCCACGGTGCTGTCCAGAGATAAACAGTGAACAGAAGACGGTGCCAGATTCTAACCTCCTGTGTCTCTGATTCAAAGATCGCGTAATAAATCACATTTTCATCCAGTGCTTTTTTCCCCCCGTCTGACCAGATTACATCAGAACTTTCTGAAGAGTCATCACACTCATCGAGCTGACAGGAAGTCTAAGACAAACAAAGCCAGCCTGGATTTACAATACTGGAAAAGCCCTGGGTGTTATATCAAATTTCCTCTGTTCTTCAGCTGTCCAGGAGTAAAAATATGGATCACTTTTGTTCTCCTAAATCCAAATCTAATTGCTCAGAGACACTCGGGCAAAGCTGCCATTCTTCAAAGTGTTCTTCACATTGCCGACCTTCAAAAAGTGGCAGAAAGCAAAAGAGAAATAAATCTTTGCTACGGAACTCTGAATCACTGTGTGGCCATCCTAGGCTGCTAACACAGAGGAAGGCTCAGGAGCCTCAGGGGGACAGGGATGCCCCCAGGCTCTCTTCACCTCAGCTCAGGTGGTGCAGAGTGGGTTCCTGGAACCTCCCGCTCCATGTAGTTCGTAGGTCAGTGGTGTCTCTTGCCAGTCAGGGATGTTATCTCTTAGATTGCGCTCTTGCTTTTTTTTTTTTTCTCTCTCTCTCATTGAGTTTATTGGTACGTTTTAGGGATAGAGTACAGTTACATTCATTACTGGGATCTTGTGCCTTTACATGACAGGTCTTGGTTCTCATTTTTTCCCTTGTCCCTACCCTCCCTTCACCCCCTCCTCCCCTCCCCATTTACAAACATTTTATTTCCATTTTTTTTCATTTTCTCCTTTCCCTATCCTTCCCCTACCCTCTTGATTCTTTTCTCCCACTGTCTACTCCTCTTTTCTAGCCATTTTTAAAAAATCTAGAATTGTTTTTCTTTCTTGTTCCACTGAAACCAGCTTCTCCACTTAGGCAGGAATCTGTTTCAAGTCGGAGTTTTGTCCTAAATTTTGCTACATTCAACTTTGAGCACTGACTCTAAACAAAGCTCCTTTCAATACAAAACTAATACCTTGCGTGGAACATGAAGTTGCTGAAACGGGGCTGCGCAGATCTCATCCCGGGGCGCAGCGTGCATGATGACTGTCGGGAAGCCCATCGCTCTGGCCCTGATATTTGTCCAGGGCGTCCAGCCACCATGCCTTCTCATAGATATCCACGGCTAAACTTGAACTGCAAGTATTCTACGCTACATATCTTCTGCTGCTATTTCAGTTCCTCATTTCCCAAAGTTGGGCTCCAATAGAACGTGCTGGGTCAGGGGTAGATGTATGGCTCAGTGTCTTGCACTTCGAGTCTTAAGCTGCATGAAACCTCACAGCTACCACCGCCTCAATGAATTTTACTGAACGGAGCTGGAGCTACTTCCTAAGTATGCTCCACAGACCTGAAGCAAACCCAGGGCAAGAAGGCCACGATAAATCATAACAGAAGATCCTACCTTCTTTTATCCAGGTGTGTGTGTGTGTGTGTGTGTGTGTGGGTGTGTGTGTGTGTGGGTGTGTGTGTGTGTGTGGGTGTGTGTGTGTGTGTGAAAACATCCCTGGTAGAGCAGAGTACCACAGTTGTATTAACAAATTTGTACTGGCAAAGGCATCTAGTTAAAGGTTCCCTCCCATCTTCCAGACAGCCTACTTTCATGGGCCGCATGGCTCAGGTTCCTGAACTGGCTCTACATCCTCGGACAAGCTACTTACTCCCTCTAGATCTCAATTTCCCCTTCTGAAAAATGAGAATACTAATCTTTGTAGCATTTTACTGTGATAACATGAAATTGTTTATTAAATGTGTACAAAAGTCTATTTAACACAGTAAGTGGTGTTCAAGAAGACCTTGATAAGATAAAACAAGTAACAGGGAGGAAGGCCTAAGAGTCTGAGAGAACCTTGTTAGAAGAATATAGGAAGAGGGAAAAATCCGCTGGAACATTGTTTCAGAGGAAACTTCTGGATTTTACTGTATCTTGATCTTATTCTCAGGATGCATACCAAGATAGTCGTGTCATTTTTACTCAAATTAGAGAAAATATGAGCCAACTGAAATGCTCATTTGAGTAAAATGGCTAACAAAAACAAGATTGACCGTTATATTTTGCATTCTTATCTAAATATTGATCTGCACGACATATTGTTCCAAAACAATAAAAAAGACTGAGTTAAATTGCAGATTCTGCTGAGTGATTTATTTCACTCTGATAAGAATGAAAACAAGAGGGAGAAATATTTACAGAGAGAGTAGCAAAAAACACAAAACACTGCAGCATGGTCAGTTAGGGATATAATTTTTGGTTGTAAAACAGTCTGTTTTAGCAACGTATAAATATTTTTAGAGCATGTCCAAGGCAGAAAAGTGGTATAGCACATCTGCCTCCCACCCGGACAGAGGCTTTCTGGAAAAGACAGGGCAGTCTGGAAAAGTGTCTTGATCTTCACGGAGACGTTCTGGGATGGAGGACGAGGATGAAAGCAAGTCTGAGAAGTAGTTTTGTCAGAGTGAACGATGCTACCATCACAGAAAGGTGCCACACTCCTAAAGCGCCATCGCATGGAAAATGCTCTATTTTTTGCCTTTTTACTATTTAGTTTATATATTCTATTAGTTATGTAAGAATGCAGTTTATGTATTTATACAATTTGTAATAATAAACTATATATATGTATTATTTAGATTACATATTTTACAACTTTCTGAAGCTTTGTAACATTAATCCATTAAACCGAAGCTAGTGTAATTGTCTACTGTCAGCACGACTGGTGTCTCCTGGGCATTGACCCCCACACCCTTCTGTGAATATTAGAATCTATAGATGTTAAAATGCACCATATAAAATAAAATCTGCATATAACCTATGTATATATCTTCGCATATA